GGTTTACCCTTTATCAATCAGATCAGCAGGATGGATCACATCATCCAGAAACTGGACACATGATTTCCATACTGTTAGGTATTCATTCTTTGTTTAAGGTCAAGAAACTATTAAAAACGTATAGAATTTAMACTTCTTACTTTCAAGGAGTTTTTYGTCCAATGGRAGTAAATCCTAGTTCTCACCTGCATTGAGTGGATGTGGGATCTGTTTCTTTTTAAATTTCTGTGATAGTTGATTTCTTTATTTGATTATCTATTGCAAGTTATTTGAAGTAGGGATATTTTATAAATGTATGTATGTGTAGATTCATATACGTACATACATATATTTATCTATGTTTATATATATCTATTATATACTAATATGTATACAGATATGAAATATAATAGACTCATTAGTGGGTCAGTTCATGACGTCTAGATAACAATAGAAAACTCAGATCCTTTTTGCTGAGAAGCTGCCACATTGAGGAAATGATTCAGGCTCCAGATTTTTTTTTTGTACATATTTAAACACATTTTAATCAGTGAGATCGAGTAGTTAGAAATGTATTTTAAAGTCTAATGCTGATTATATCGACTGCATAAATCTAAGTGGTTCCATAACAGACAGTTGATTCTCCTATTGTTTTTTTTAAATGATAGTAAAATCTATTTCTAGGAAAGCAAACTTTTTGATTTAAGTTTTAATTTAGAAGGAAAAACAGTGAYCTGAGAGTAGATATTCATGATTTTTGCAGATGGAATGGCATATATCTCAGAATTAAAAATATAAGAGAGCCTTTTGGAGAAGTGAAACATATTTTAACTTGTTTGAGTGTCCTGGCAGTCATGTTAGATGGGCTGTTGAGGGAGCGTGTGTTCARGTGCTTGTGTAGGTGAGAATGGGGTGAATGTAGATGATGCTCTCTCTTCCCCAGAGAACAGGTTTTTATCTCACATTTCTGTACAGCACTTCCATGGGCGATCTGGAGCCTTATMGTTGTTCACACCCTCTTCTTCCAGTTCACTTTCAGCTCCAGTATCTAAAATGGCTGTTTATAGTGGACCTATTCTAACTGGTATTTTGAACYTCAAATTTTTGAAGTTTGAACTTTTCTTTTTCTTTTTTTTTTTGTTATATTCTACAGCATGACATTCTTYTTTTTCTGATTATGTCTTTTATTATTATTTTTTATTATTGGTTGTTCAAAACATTACAAAGSTCTTGACATATCATATTTCATACATTTGATTCAAGTGGGCTATGAACTCCCATTTTTACCCCTTATACAGATTGCAGTATCACATCGGTTACACACTTGTAGTTTGAACAAGRTATTTTGCTGTGGAGTAGTGACAAAGTTTAAAATAGAATCCCAAATCTRATGACTAAGGTTCATTTTTGTGGTCATATATTTTAATCACTTGAAAATTTTCCCTGTAAAAGCCATTGCTAGTATTTACAAATTAAGACCCTCCCTTCCCCATGTAGGTAAGTATCATAGTCATTAGGGTTGAGGGGATTTTAAGGTCAAATAACTGCACCGACATCACAGTCTAATGTGAAAATGACTTCTTGTGCTTGTAATCTTTTCTATCATCTTCCTCCCCCTGCTGCTTTATTAAAACTCAGAGRAGGAAAGAATCCTGCTCAAGGTCTGCTCATGCTTTTATCAGATATTTTCCAAGTCATCCACGGTGCTGGCATATTAATGTATTTTAGGTGTGATACATTAAAATACGTTTACATCATTTAGGAAGGAAATTTTTTTTTTTGCTTTGTTTTGCAGATGTACAGATCAGCTCTCAAAATGTCTTCTGTGCCCTCCGAGAGTCTTCTAAGACAATTGCATTAGCTTCCTGCTAGTTGACTAATAGAATTAATAATTGTAAAAAGCACTCTAAAGCCACATGCCTTATGAAGTCAATGCTGGGTATGATTTTACAAGTATGTGATCTATTTTTTCAAGTGAAAATGTTAACTGGAAAAGTTCTTGGCACTCAGGAAAACATCGTGCAATCTGTTATTTGTCTTAGAGATAATAACTGGAGGGTGGCTACAGCCTTACGGTATCTAACTTATGACTTGCTAGGGGAGTTTCTTCCACTTAGAAGTATTGCAAATGTGCTTATATTTACATAATATGTCACTCTGAAAAATTATGATGATATAATTCCAGTAAAAATTATTTTTCTATAACTACTTCAAAGTATAGTAAAATAAATTAACCCCATTTTTTTAAAAACAGCAACTGAAAAAAAAAAAAAAAMCAACAAAAAAACCCAAAATCCATGCCCCTGCCCCCACAACATAAAAAAACCCAAGTGACCTTTCTGATACTTCTTTGAAGTTTTAGCAGTTTAACATTCTTTGCAATGTATATTATTAAGGGCTGCATTCAGCATAAGGAGTCAGTGAGTCACACACATTCTAAAGGTCTGTTCTTGGGTGAAAGAAGAAAATGAAATTTGGAAAGACAATAATTTAATTAAGTCATGTTTTCTCTCAGGCTCTAAAGATGCTGGGTGACTAGTTTCTAAACTTTGGCCCATTGTATCTTTTCATGATTACAGTAAATCAGTGAGATCTAAAACTATTCTTTGTTCAGAAAAACAAGTTAATTTTTTCGTTATTACCACTTTGAGATCTATTCACTCTTAGTATTTTATCTTAGTTTCCTGGCTATTTACAAATGTTGCCATTTCTCCAGTTTTCTTGACATTAATATAGGGCCACAAACCATTTTCTCTTCATTTTGATGGAAGGATAACTGTAATGAATAATAATAATAATAATAATAATAATAATTATTATTATTATTATTATTATTATTATTGTTTTGGCACAATTCTTCAGACATTATTCCTTCAATTTAGGGTTTTGGAATTTTAACTTTTTTTGTGTACCCTTATTCTTTTTATTTAGATGAGTCATTGCTAGATTTTAGTCATGTTAAGTAGAAAATATTAAAATGCGAATGAAATAGTAAGTATTAGCCGAAGAAAAGATTATATAGTAGTAGTTACTGAAGAAATGGTGTGTAATGGTCTTCCATGTGTTGTTACAAGTTCCCAAGTTTGGTGCAGTCACTTCTTAGAGGAAAATAGAAGTCTCCTAAAACTTTATCATCAACACTTAAGACCTTGATGTGCAAACATTATAAATATAGCCAGCAAGTGTTTCCTTTAATATTCTGGCTTTTGCGTTTGTGTATGTGTTTGTAAGCACACTAGGAATGGAACCCAGGGCCTCATGCATGCCAGGCTAGTGCTCTAACACTGAGCTACAACCCAGCCCAGTGTTTCCTTTCATAATGAAGATTCCCTGGCTTTCTTAATTTTAGGCCTACTGGGTGACACCAAAGGGAGGAACACATCCTCTTTCTTCCCAGAGTAAGATGGTAGATTGGCATTGCCTCATGATGTCAGTTTCTCTTAAAGCTTCAGTCTTTATCCTATAATTTTCTTTTTGTTCCAAGAGGGAGAGTCCATGGATATTTGGTAAATGAAATTATTCATATATAAGAAGTATACTTTTTGAAGTATAGTTGTTTATTGATATTATTCACTAAAGTGGATTTTTACTTCATAAATGATTCCTTATATAGCTAGTGCATTATCCTTATTCAGTGATTCACTTTATAAAAATTTAGTTTGACCAGCTTTTCAGAAGCACAGGTACACTCATCTATCCCAAGCCAGTGTGGTTACTTAGCACTYGTGAGAAACTATAGGTGAAAACGACTACACCATGTTATTAACTTGGATTTTCCCAGCACATTTTGGATAACAGTGGTGGAACTAACTCTGATAAATTGGTCCTCACAGCAGAGTTGGCTACTAGAAAAGGCTTGTTTTTTTAGAAAGTCACAGGTGGAATTTCCCAAAAGACATTTGGGGTGATGATGTAGATAGCACTTGATAGATTTTCAGCTGAGTACTTGAGGAACAGAGGCCTCGGAACTCCATCCACGACTTGCTTTTGTTAGTGTATTCTTTACTTGACATGACACAATTTCTTATTTCTCTTTGATTTCTGAGTCATTAGACCCTCATAGAGGAATTTGTCATAGCATTCTAATCTTTAACTTACTCTCTAATACCACTAACTTGAAAGGCACAGTTGAGTGAACCTATAAAGGGAAACCCTAGCAAATTGCTAAGATTTTGCCATTTTCAGTTACAAAACAGCAGTGTCATATGGTTCAGCCTATTGTTTTGCTTTGGTCACTTTGCAGTGTGCTGTTCATAATTGGTAGACCTGGTACCATTCCCCCAGGTGTGCATAGCAACCCAGGGCTTCCTTCGCTTCCTCATCATGCTAGAGACAGTACTAGTGAAACCTGACCTGACCACTGTGATGCATGCTGGGTCCTCATTCTAACTTTCAGGAGGAGAGCCCCAAATGTGTCTTAAGCATTTCTTTTCCCTTCTTTTTTGCAAGTAATGGGGGCAGTTTTCCTCTGTTTATAACTTGGCCGTTTCTGTCTTTGAGGATATTTTGGTTGAAACTATTTATGTCCTGGTTACACAGTGTAACAATATTCAATTCCAATTTATGATGTTTATATATACATATATATTTAACATATAAACATGCAATATGTATTCTATAAACACAAACATAAATGTTATATGTAATATATACTGTATAAATATGTAAGTGTGTGTATATATCCTCGAGTATAACTGAAGAGAAAACTTGGGAAAAATATGTGGAAGAAAAGAATAATAGGAAGGATAGTGCCAATAATAATAGTGAATCCTTTAATATTTATAAAACTCTTTAAAATAATAAATAAGGCCAGTCTTTGTGACRAAAATAATTCGAAATGTAAATTGTTTGCTTTAGTCTCAAGTGTTTGCTATTTTTATGACTGATTTTTCTCCTAGAGTAAGTATTTTATTATGTACCTTAGAAAACCTTGAATAGAATAAGAAAAATATTCTAGATTTGATTACATGTCTGAAACTTTCAGATAACTTAGTATCTGCTTCTTCCCTCTATTTTCACAGATATGGTCCGGAAAAAGAACCCCCCTCTGAGAAACGTTGCTAGTGAAGGCGAGGGCCAGACCCTGGAGCCGATAGGTACAGAAAACAAGGTATCTGGAAAGAACAAAGAATTTTCTGCAGATCAGATGTCCGAAAATACGGATCAGAGTGATGCTGCAGAACTAAATAATAAGGAGGAACATAGCTTGCATGTCCAAGATCCGTCTTCTAGCAGTAAGAAGGACTTAAAAAGCTCAGTCCTGAATGAGAAGGCTGGCTTCAATTATGAAAGCCCCAGTAAGGGAGGAAACCTTTCCTCCTTTCCACATGATGAGGTGACAGACAGAAATATGTTGGCTTTCTCATCTCCAGCTGCTGGGGGAGTCTGTGAGCCCTTGAAGTCTCCTCAAAGAGCAGAGGCAGATGACCCTCAAGATATGGCCTGCACCCCATCAGGGGACTCGTTGGAGACAAAGGAAGATCATAAGATGTCACCAAAGGCTACCGAGGAAACAGGGCAAGGGCAGAGTGGTCAAGCCAATTGTCAAGGCTTAAGCCCAGTTTCAGTGGCCTCAAAAAACCCACAAGTGCCTTCAGATGGGGGTGTAAGACCGAATAAATCCAAAACTGACTTACTGGTGAATGACAACCCAGACCTGGCACCTCTGTCTCCAGAGCTTCAGGACTTTAAATGCAATATCTGTGGGTATGGTTACTATGGCAACGACCCCACAGATCTGATTAAGCACTTCCGAAAGTATCACTTAGGACTGCATAACCGCACCAGGCAGGATGCTGAGCTGGACAGCAAAATCTTGGCCCTTCATAACATGGTGCAGTTCAGCCATTCCAAAGACTTCCAGAAGGTCAACCGTTCCGTACTTTCTGGTGTGCTGCAGGACATCAATTCTTCAAGGCCTGTTTTACTAAATGGGACCTATGATGTACAGGTTTGTGCTTTATGTTGTGACCTTCTTATATAGGAAGTTATTAATAATGAAATGTGAATTCTCCTATGCATGTTAAAAGCAAGGTCYCAATACTAGGCTATCTCTCTAGATCCAGCTGAAGAGGTGCATGCCCTTCATAGCTACATCATCCCAGAGTGTGTCAGAGTTGTTGTTATCCTCTCTCTCTTCATGGAAACATTCCCAACATTTCTATTAGGTCCGGAAAAGTCTTTGCATGGAATTAGCTAAGCTTCATATTTCTGAATATACTTCATGGTAATTGGATGTTTTCACAGTCTTACCTAAATGGCACTAATCTTTATGGTTGTACTTACTAATAATTCATGCCTTATCCTACTTTCAGATTATAAGGCCTCTGGGATAGTCTTTCCCAGAGAAGATCTTTCTTGTGTTTTGGATTAGGACTTGATTTTTCAGTTAGCCTGACTAGGTTTGGGTCCTATTGATGGTCATGGGGTACACTCCTGGAAATGAAAATTTGAAAATACCATTTTAAATTGATTAAAAAAAATCCATGTGATTGTAAGTAGTAGGGATACCAGTATAACCTTTATGTAGGCCAATAAAGCATTCCATTCTGTATTTAAGGAAAATGGTAATAACTTATGAAAGCATTTAGTAATGATTTAAATTTATACTTTTATTAAAACCAGAATACCTTTTTGATCTCCTTTTCTGTCTTTAGTTTATGGCATATGTGAATTCAAAAAAAAAATTGTTAGCATTTTCAATAGAATAAAATGTGGAACTAAATCTCAGAAAATGTGTTCATTTAACTTTTGCAGTTTTAGCATAGTTGAAACTCATGCTCCGCTAGAGAAAATGGTAGTGAGTTTTGTTTGTAGAGTTTTGTTGATTTTTATTATATTATTAGGCCAGAGGATTTCAAAACATTAGGTTTCATATTAAACTTTTTTTTTTTTTTTTTTAGGAGTGGTTGATAGAAATACCAGAGAACTAATGAGATCACATCACACTTACTTGACCTACTAAATCTCTTGAAATATCAGTCATTTTTATCAAGTTCATAGCCATAGCAGATCTCCCTTAGACCTCTCTATTGATCTAATGCCAATTAAGAAAGACAGGCAAAGGRTTACAAATAACAGGTAGTGAAAATATTTTGCAGTACTTGTAGAGAAAAATCAGAAGAGAAATTTCTGAGTCCWTTAAATGTCAGAATGGCAATCTTAATGCTTTAAGGGACATATGAAGAAGAACTCTTAAAAAGTCAGTTTCATCTTTGGTAGAGCTCTCTAAAAATTCCATCTTACTTTGTGAATTTCCACAAATAGAATTATTTCTGTGGAGCAGCAAATTAAGCCAACATAGTTATTATGCATGAAAGCTACATGCTTTGAACTGCTGTCTTATTAAAGATCATTTCACTGTCTTATGTCAGATACACTCTGCTGTCAAACTATGATTGGAAAGCAAATACGTGTTTTAGATAAAAGGGTTGGRAGTGAATAATGTCAGTATGTGAAACGGTGTTTTATAATTAGCAAGTAATATGATGTTAATACCTGGATTTCCGGCAGGAGTTTCAGTTTGTTCACTCTGGGGATAACTTCTGAGGGAAGCTGATCTCGGCTGTCAGGAAGGCTCTAAAACGAAGATTACTAAGGCCTATAGTTTGGAAGAATTCAGAGTTTTAAACACACTTCCATTTCCCCCAAACAGTTATTTGTTAGGTTCTTAGTTATTTATAGTAAAGTTTATGTTTGGGTAGAACACTTTTTCCTGGGCAGTGATTTTAGAAATAAAACAGATGTGTGAGCTATCTGAGTTTGAGCTAATAGAACTAGAAATAAAACAGCYGATCCCAGACTGGGCTGTGTACTAAATCCTTGCAGCACACAGTAAAGAAGACAAAAAGTAGTAGGAAAGAACATGCCAGAAGATAATCTTGTTAAGATCAATTTTCTTTTTCCAAACTAATGTTGCTAGAAATAGAAAAAGAGCAATCTGTGGGGTAAAAGTGGGTGATTATTGCAAAGAAATGATTGGGTTTCAAAAGAAGTCCAAAGAAAGTTAACTTCAGTTTATGAAAAGAACACTAAATATACTGGTCAGTGAAGTGCTGCTGAATTTGAACACTTTGCACCTACACCAGAATTGATGCAGAAACGTGTCTGAAGATAAGTAACTTATTAGTGAGTTTCTGTTGCCATGAATATTGAAAGCTTCTCTATGTGCATAAAACTCAATAATAAAAGTACATCTGAAATTCCCCCCTTTTACGCCCTTTCACGTGTTTGTGCTGCCAAAATATTTTTTCATAGGTTCTTTCTTTGGAACTTGGGAGATAAAATGATGACTATAAAATTTCTTTAATGCAGTGTTTTGATCAGACATATATATAGTAAGCATATATATAGTAAGTGGATGACCTGTATGTATGTTGACCAAAAAAAAAAGATGTTTGTAAATATTACAGATGAATAATCATTTCATTTCAGGTATTATTTATATAGATCTATAATTTAAGCTAATTGAAGAAATACATGAACAATTCATTAATCTTTTTCAGTTGAACTCGCTTTTTAAAAATATCATCGGAACAGTTGGTAGTTAATGATAGATTTATGGCATTTTAGGCCAAGGGGGCAAAAAAAGAACAGAAGCCAGAAGTAAAGGGCTTAAAGAACTCTGTGTCTTTGATCTATATTTTGGTTTGACATGGATAGTTTTAAATAATTTGAACCGACTTGAATGTCAATATGAGATATGTAATTGGGAAAAAAGAAGTAATTTAAATTAATCCTAGTATTTTAAAATTATAAATTCATAATTATAATGTTTGGAGAATAATTGAAATTTAGATAATATCTAATTGTCACTGATAAAATCCACCTCTGTGTAAATTGTATCACGAATAACAGGTCAAATACAATTTTGTAAAAACAGTGTCAACAATATTTCTTTGTACTGCATAGTAGAGGAGGATCCCACAGGATAAAGGAGGTCACCTGGAATAGCCATTGTAAAACCAGGACTCTTTGCTTGGTCTTTGGAATTCAATGTCTCCCCCATGCACCTTGAGATAGCATGCCCAGCCCTGACATCAAAAAAGGTGTTATTTCTTTACCAACAAAAGCAAGAAAGGATGCAGTAGCTAGCTGAGAGGTAATTGATTTGACCAGGATGATTGTTTCCCTATTTTTTTCACGATCCCTCTGTGTTTATCAATTATTGTGCTTACATTTTAAAAATAATGAATRTGGCACGATTGGTACACCCTTCATGTAATTTTTACTATCTGTATTCAGCCTTTGAGGCTCACATGTAGATGAATAATAGGACAAGAGATTGAGTTCTTAAAAAAGTAATTACAGCCTCTTTCTTTTTAATCTGCTTTATTATGCTTATATTTAAACCATCCCTGAATGGAGGCCTGCATTAACAACACGGACGTGCTGTTTCATTAGGGCTTAATGTGCTGTGCATTAGGGTGTTTGCATCATCTTTACAGGGGAGCTTTTAGCCCTCAGATCAGGTTATAAAAGTAGGAGGCCTGTCAAGTTGTGCTTCCCACGGGAAAGTGTTTACACTATCCCAAGTTGGTAAATGCTCATGGTGTATATGTTGCCTTTCTGTGTTTGTATACCTTTTCTAGCATTCTGAATTATTCAGGAGTCTAAGAAGGTAGTCACTGGACTGTAGCCATTAAATTCATTTTGACCCTTCACAAAATTTTAAGGTTAATAGTAAATTGCCTTATTAACTTTACAGGGGCTACCTTGTATTTGAACTAGGAAAACTACATTTCTGTGTTATAATTTTTGTTTTTTAAATCAGAGTTGCATAGCATAGCATGTCATGTTAAGAACAGGAAGAATAGATTTTTAGAGATAGGCCCTTCTCCTTGTATTTTTAATATATTTAACTGTACGAGTTTTACAGATCCTTAACATACAACACTACATTCATTTGAACAGGAGATTACAGTTAGGTTTGAAAAAAGAAAAAAAAAAATCAGGGAACATTAATCTCATTGTGGTTTATTTTGACTTGTCCTGAATTTTCCTTCCAAATATTTATTTTTTGCTTTGGAGTTTCCTTTGATCTGGAGTAGGAGGGAAGTTGTAGATCTTAGCAGGTTCTGTTTCTTTGTTTTTTTGAGTCGAGGACAATTGCACTTTAGAAAAACTGGTGAATGAGACTTTAATCAATTCAGACTGTCTATAGAGTGCAGAATGTTTGGCATAGAACCCATGCTTATTTTCAGGACTGTGTCTCTTTAACAAGTAATAAAGTGTGCAAAATAAAACATATGCTCACCCCAAGGCCATAAAGCAAAGCAAAGTTATGGCATTTACCAGGTTATTTTCATCAGTGGCGATGGCTGAGCTGGATAATATAGCCACCCGGGGAGGAGTAGTGGACCATCTTAACTAATCCCTTTACCTGCTCCACAGTTAAATCTCCCATTTAGCTTTATAATGAGAGTTGGTATGATAGATAGGAAGGTCTCTTAGATTTTTACTTTATTTGTCATCAGTTAAAGAACATGGATTGTTTTCTAGAATTTCAGTGTTTTTCTCTTGGCAGAATGTTTAGAAGGAAAAAAAATCATGGCTATCAGTACAGCCAATCAAATTTAGCATTATTCAACTCTTAATAAAAGTTTTATCTCTCAAATGGCCTGTTCTGCTAACCATATCAAGTCAGCAGATTATTTAGTGCCTTTTATTTCTCGGGTCATTGTAATTACAGCATACTTGCAGCTGTTGGAAACACAGATACACAACTGGTGCGCCAACCCCAGGAAAGTTTGGAGAGAGAGCAAAAGGCAAAGAGTAGTTCCCTTTCATTTTCTGATTTCCTTTGTGGAGTTTAGTTCTGAGAATCATTAGACCATATAATTCTTCATCACTTGATTCCAGAGTTCCAAGCAAATGCAGTGTATTTTCAGAATATTCGACAAATGTTTAATTGAAAATCAAATGTAAAATTTATTTTTCACTTAGATACTT